CAGCTCAGCAGCGCACTGTGGCCAGGGCCAGGGCGCAGCTCGGGGTGAGCGCTGCCTAGCACAGCCGGGCCCTGGCCTCTGTCCCCGGCTCCACCAAAAAGAGAGGAAAACGTTGGATTCTTAAGTGTAAAACACTTCCTAAAATACATATTGTGTGCGTGGGACAAGAATAATTTAGAAGAATAAAGCTAACAGCCAGGTCAAGAAGTAGGATATCGTCCCTCTGTGACCCCTCACTGGTCACCGCGCTATTTTTAAGACACGCTGTCAGTGTTTATTTTCTTCCTGGGCACCTTTTGCTGTGACTGTGGTGCTGAGCGTCCAGATTCTAGGGCCTGCGCGCAGTTCTGTGGAGGGGAGCAGGGAGCAGAGGAGAGGGGAACGCAGGGCTGAGGACCTGTTCACAGGTTTTAGTACAGTGTTTCATTACAATTGTCCGATTTCTTTTTTTATTTGTATTGGGGAGGGGGTGTTGAGACAGGGTCTGGTCCCAAACTCTCAGCGGTCCTCCTGCCTCAGCCTCCCAAGTGCTGGGATTACAGGCGTGCGCCACCATGCCTGGCCCCATAGTGCTGTTTTGTTTTGTTGTTTGTTTTTTGATTTTTTTGGAGACAGGTTCTTGCTATGTAGTTGAGGCGCGTCTTGAACTCAAGGCAATCCTCCTGCCTCAGCCTCCCAAGTGCTGGGACTACACACATGTGCCACCATGCCCAACATATTTTGGGGGGGGGTGGTACCAGGAATCGAACTCAGGACCTCATGCATGCCAGATAGGCACTGTGCCACTGAGCTAAATCCCTGGCCCCTTGTTTTGTTTTTGAGACAGGATCCTGTTATGTAGTCTAGGCTAACCTTGAACTCACTGTTAGCCCAGGCTGGACTCCAACTCATGGAGATCCTCTTGCCTCAGCCTCCTTTTTTAAATTTTGGGAACTAAGGTCACTCCCACCAGGCCCCTAAAACATCATAGCCTTTGCATAGAACCTGCAAGTGGCTTCCAGTGCCCAAGAGTCTGCTGAGTTGTTAAGCTGTATCCTTTATGCAGATCCCATGCTCAGCACAGATACAATGTTTCTGCTTCACATTTTTCTCCCCTGCTCAGTGGGGCCCTCAGCAGAGCCACCTGCAGGGGTGGAGGAGGGTATGTGCAGGTTCACAGGCCCTGGCCCCACCGCCCTAGCGGCTGGGACTCTGGCGCCTCTGACCTAGCCCAGCTCCAGGATGGTCTGCGCACACTGAGGATGGAACCCAGGGACTTTCCATCCCTGGCCCTTCCAGTTTTTTCTTTTGAGATAGGGTCTCGCTACGTTGCCCAGCCTGGGCTTACCTGAGGTCCTCCTGCCTCAGCCTCCCAGAGTGCTGCTGTGGCTGGCTTCATCCCCAGTGTCTGCCACAAGTGGTCCTGGAAATACCTGCCTGAGGGGCTCAGGGCTGGGGTGACAAGGGACACCTGGCACCTCTGCCACTGTGAGGGAGACTGCGGGGCGGGATGCCAGCCTGGGGTGCTCGGCCCACGGCCACCCAGGCCTTGGCCCAGAGTTGCTGTGGGTCAGAGAGGGTGGGGACGGCACAGCAGACTGCTGGGGGATAAGGCGGCCCGGAGGGATGGCAGCCGTGGGGCAGACGGGGGCATGGGCAGGCGTGGCTCAGAGTCGGAGTGCCGTTGGCTGCGAGCAGCAGCAACCCCATGGGGAGGTATCCCGTGGGCAGGGCGTTTCCCGCCCAGTGGTTCTTGGGGCTGTGCCAGCCAGGGACTCTCAGTCCAGTGGCAAAGGCCAGTGGAAAGTGACCTGTCAGTGCAGCAGAGAACTACTGAACACTAACCATGGGGGAGAGCAACTAACTTTAGGGGAAAGTGAGGCTGAAATGTTTAGGATGGGCTTTGAAGGATGCAGAGGAGTTTGCTGGTGTGGAAAAATGCAGCCAAAGCAGAATTTAGCATCTCCCAGGAATTTACTCACCTAGCATAAAACTTTGTAGGCTGACTAGGTGCAGAGTGCCACACTGGGCCTCATGTGGCAAGAATTTAGGCCTTGCTGGGCACAGTGGTGCCTGTATCTGGGAGGCTGAGGCAGGAGGATGGCAAGATCAAGGCAACTTACACACTTAGCAAGAATGGGTCTCCAAATGAAAAATAAAAAAGGGCTGAGGATATAGCTTGGTGTGAAGGCCCTGGGGTCAATGCCATCACCACCAAACAAAACAAAAATAAAGCGTAGGCGCTGGCTTGGGGATAGTTCTGGAAGGGCACCCTCCCCGCAGATCCCATCAGGGGCCGCTGGCGATGGCTGCAAGGCGGGAGGACAGTGACTGTCTTCAGGACGGCAGTGAGGGCTGCTGTCTGCCCGTGGGGCCGCAGCTCGGCAGCATCTCCAACACGGTCACCACATGGGACACACGAGGCCAGTGGGGCCGAAGCGGGGCCTGTGGCCCGGAAGAGATGGCTGCCTTCCTCCAGAGCAAGATGGGGCCAGCCGGCTTCTCGCAACTGTGGTTACGGCCGGGTACCGCCGCGCTCCGAGCCGCGCTGCGCACCAGGGTAGGGTGTGAGCTGGGCCGCCGCTGAGTGGCTGCCAGGGCTGCCGCAGGCTCCGGAAGGCCATCCCTGCCTCTTCCCATGTTTGCTTGTGTATGTGTGTGTGTGCGCGCCCTAAGGCAGTTCTAGCGATGGAACCCATGGCCTTCACACTGAACTATATCCCCAGGCCCTTAAAAACATTTTTTTTAAATTTGAGACAGTGTCTCACTAAGCCTCGGAGTTGCCCGGGCTGGGCTGGAATTTGTCACCCTCCCGCCTCAGCCTCCCGGAAAGCCAGGATCACAGGTGTGCGCCTCAGCACACTGCTCCCAGCCACCCTGCACTTGAGACTGCGGTGTTCAGGTCAGTGGCGTTAGGGACGTTCACGCCATCACACAGTCGTCACTGCCAGCGGTCCCAGCGGTCTCTCCAGCTTGCATAACTGAAGTGCACCTGAGATGCCCCCTCCGGTCTCCCTCATGACCGCATTCGACTTTCTGTGCCCTGCTTAGACCCAGACGCTTGGCTGGCTTTGTGTGGTGCGGGGGGTGGGACCCAGGGCCGCTGGAGTGCAGGCCGTGCCCACCGCCAATCTCCAGACTACTCGCAGTGCCTGATGCCCCGGTAACGTGCAGTGTGAGAAACCCGCGCCTCTGAGGGAGCCCTGATGGCAAACAAGTCCATGCGCGTTGGGGACAGGCACTGCGCCCCACCCTCGCGCGTTTCCTTGTTGTGTTTTCTCGGCGCTGGTTGGAAGGCAGGTCCTCCGACATGGAGGAAGGTTCTGTACCACCGAGACACACCCCTGCCCTTTGCATTTTCATTTCTTATTTTGAGACAGTCTTGCTAAGCTGGCTTCGAGCTCGGGATTCTCCTGCCTCAGCCTCTTGAGTGCTGGGGTTCCAGGCATGCGCCACCACGCCAGGCTTGAGTTGTATGTGAAACATCCGCGAATTCCATGTTTAGAGTCGAGTCCTGTTCCCGAGGTAGCTCATTATGCGCCTGCCCAGTGCTGCGTCCAGAACCCAGAGTCCTTCAGGCCCCGTGTGAATAAATGGCTAAAACTAAACTGTGGACGAGTCCTGAGTGCCCTCCAGGCAGTGGAGCCTGAGCCTCCCGGCTCGCCCAGAGCAGGCCAGGGGTGACAGCCGCCGCCGCCGCTTGCCTGGGAGAAGCCCTGCCTTCTCAGGGCCGCCCTGTGATAAGCAAAGCCGGGTGCGCACACCCGGTCACTCCTCCTGCAAACTCTCCTCCTGGCTGCCGGCGCCCAAGGCAGCGAGAACGCGGCACACGGGCCTCACACTGCGTTGTTCCCGGGACAGGGACAGGTGGAAAAGCTTGCAGTGTTCAGTAGGTCAAAAAACAACAACAATTCGGGCTATGGCCACCGAGTGAGCTCACCCCGGCCCTGGAGGGGGTTTTATGTACTTTCCAGAGCCGCCGCCGTGGGAGCCGGGGGCGGGGCGGTCGGCGGGCCCTGCCCGTGCGGTTCCGTGCTGTGCGCTGCGGCCTCCCCGCGTGCTGCCAGCTCAGGCTGAAGGAGCCCTCCGCTTCTCAGTGCGTGCTCCGCCCCGGGCGCGGCCTCGGCTCGGCCCTGCAGGCTCCTGGGCAGCGGCCCCGCCGCCTTCCGAGCTCCAGGCGGGTGGGCGGTCCGCTGGCCAGGCCGCAGTTCCTGGGGGCTGGCCTCACCGTCCCGGGGTCAGGCCCCGGCTTCTGCCCCCTGCTGCGGAGGCCCTGGTCTCCGAGCGTCCGGGACTGAGCCTCGCCGCCCCGCGTCTCAAACCCCCGTCCTGTCCTGCCCTGCCCGGCGCTTTGTGAGCTTCCCCTCAGGAGCCGCCGCTTCTGGGCCGGGATGCCGCTAAGCGGCACAGCGCCAGCCTGGCCAGTTCAGGGTTGTGAGTTTGAGTCCCGGTACCAAAAAGGAGGGCAGCTACGTCTGCTCCCCCAAATTGGTTGTTCCTTTGGTGTCAGCTGTCCGTGTGTCAGACCGTCCGCCCATCCGCCCGTCGAGCGCTTCCTCCGGGTCCCTGTGCGTAGGCCAAGCTGCTCGGGCTCTGCAGGGAGGGTCAGCGGAGGGCCCCAGGCGGCCTCCAAAAGCAAGGCCCCCACTCTGCCCTGGTGGTGACAGATGTGTCCCCAGACTCCAGGCCTGGCCATGCTGCCAAAGCCAGGGTGGATGCCCGACCTGTCCTGGCAGCCGCCCTCTCCTCGCACCCAGCTGTGTGACCTCAACTGGCAGCTCAGCCTCCCTGAGTCAGCCGTCAGCCCGCCCTGACGGTACCAGGTTAGAGAAGCAGACTGTCGTGGTCACATGCAAGAAGTGACAAGAAAGGCCTTTGTCAGCGAGGAAGCCGTCTGCCCGGCACCGTGGCATCCGAACTCGGGCAAGGGCACTCTCGGTCGGACAGGGAGGCAGAAGCCAGGCCAGGGCTGGGTACAGGGCTGAGCGGCCAGGCTGGAAAGTGCGGCCGCAGGGCTCGGCTCACAAGCCCTCTCCTCCCCAGGACGGAGGCGCCGCCCAGCAGGAGCGGCCCGGCATGGGTAGTGGCGTGAAGGAAGCCTCCATGCACCTGCGCGAGGATGCTGACTCCGTCCTGCCCGCCCCCAAGGCAAGTCGCCCACACCCTGCCGCCCCTGCTGGCTCCTCTGGGAGCTCCTTTCCCCTTGCACCCCTTTCAGATCACCCTGCCCCTAGAATTCACATTTTCATCTCTCCCGCCCTGGCTGGTGACACCACAGCGTCACTGCTGGGGGACACTGGCTGTCCCCTTTTCCACCAAAGGCCCCCTGGGTGACATGAATCCAGACAGACATCTCTGGCGAGAAGGCAAACTCTGTCATCCCAGCACTCAGGAGGCTGAGACAGGAGGGTCACAAGTTTGAGTCCAGCCTGGACAACTTAGTGACTCAGCAACATTCTGTCTCAAAACAAAAATTTTTTTTGGAAAAGGGCTGGGGATGTAGCGCAGTGCAGAGGCCTTGGGTTCCATTCAGTACTGAAAAAAAAATCAGGTGTCCCTGTTCACCAAGAGCTGGGACATCCTCACCCACCTCTCCTGGCGGAACCTGAGACACCGGCTGGCCCAGCCCCACGGCCCCGACACCAGGGCCAGAGCAGTGGCCGCTGGCAGCTTGCAAAGTCCACTGGGGCAAAGGTTGGGCCGGTGTCACCCTCCGGGGCTCCTCACCTTTCCCACGGTTCCTGATGACACCTGGGAGCGCAAGGTGGGCAGAAGGGCTCAGTGACCTGGGGAGGGCCCTGTCAGGGCAAGAATGTCCTCTCTGAGGCCCACACAGCCCAACATAAGGATGGTGTAGCCACGGCCTGCATCCTGCATCCAGCCCTTGTCCCAGCAAGAAGGGAGGCTGAGGCAGGAGGATCACTTGAACCAGAAAGGCCACACAGCACCACGTAGAGTCAAAGACAAAATGTGAGCATTTTCCATGTTAGTGGCCAGGTCCGGTCACTGTGACTGGCAGTTACTGACACAGCCCTCTCTGCTCGCCTGAGCTGCCCTGGAATAAACCGTAGTCACTGAGGAAGAGCTGGAGCGTTGCCTAAGGGCCACAGCTGCCCCTGAGCACCTCACAAAGTGGCCTCACCACTCTAATAAAGGTCAGGGATGCCGATACACCTTTGGCACAGGTGTTGAAGAGCTGCCTGGGGCCTAGGAGTCCGCTGCAGGGGGATGAGAGATGGGTCACCTCCGTGCCCAACACCTGCTGACACTCGGGGGACTGTCCTCTGCAAGTCTTCCTGGGGGCCAGTTGGGCCTCAGAGCTGCCGCAGGGACCACCAAGCACCCGCATCTCTCAGATCCCATGGAAGCCGGGTGTGGGGGCGCACACCTGTCATCCCAGCACTCGGGAGGCTGAGGCAGGAGGATCTTTGCAAGTTCGAGACCAGCCTGGGCTACAAAGTGAGCTCACGGCTGGCCAGAACTGCACAGTGAGACCCTGTCTCAATAAGTCAAAAAGGGGAGCTGGGGATTTAGCTCAGCGGCACAGCAGCTGCCTAGCGAGCGCGAGGTCCTCAGTTCAATTCCCAGTACCAGGAAAAAAAAAAATTGAAACCAAAAAGTCAAAAAGACAAAAAAAACAAACAAAAACAAAGCCAACATAAACTAAATATCAAGACTCTGTCTCAACAACAACAAAATAAAAAGGGAAACCAGATGTCTGCCATGTTGCCATGTGACCCACAAAGGGCAGGGGTCCCCAAAGACAAGGAGATGGAATCCGCTCGAGTTCGGCCTTGGAAACTTGGACTCCCTGTGGATTCTGTTCCTTTGGGGGGGGACTGCACTGGCCCGTGGAGCAGGTGCTGCAGGCATCGGGGAGGGGCCTGAACCCCACAGGCCCAGGGTAGGGCCAGCCGCAGGGCCACCGGGACACATGAGAGCAGGATGGGAGCCTGCCAGGTCTGGAGGCCACACTGCGCTCCAAATGAGAGCCAGGTGTGGTGGCACACACCTGTCTTCCCGGCGCTCCAGGAGGCTGAGGCAGGAGGATGACAAATTCGAGCCTAGGCTGGACAGCTGGGCAACTCAGTAAGACCCATCTCTTTTTTTTTGTACCGGGAATCGAACTCAGGACCTTGTCCTTGCCAAGCAGGCGCTGATGCGTCTGAGCTATATTCCTGGACCCATACCCTATCTCAAAATTTAAAAAGGGGACCGGGCCAGGTGTGGTGGTGCACACCTGTAATCTCAGTACTCAGGAGGATGAGACAGGAGGGTTGCCATGAGTTCAAGGCCAGCCTGGGCTCTGTAGTAAGACCAGCTCTCAAACAAAAGAAGGGGGCTGGGTTGTAGCTCAGTGAGGGCCCTGGGTTCCATCCCCAGTGCTGAAACAGGAAAGAAACAAGCAGCTGTGCTGGAGGGGCAGGTCTGCTGCCATCCCTGCCCACCCACGGACTTCAGGGTCCCGTGGGACTCGGTCATGAACGTCCAGGCACTGCCAGGCACATGGAGTGGGCAGAAACCATAGTCGCTGCAGGGGCTGGCGCCTCGCCCATCGGGGTCATCCATCCAGTTGTGGACTCAAGAACCAGGAGCCTGAGGTGTGGCCCCCAGAGGCTGGGGACAGGCCCCAATGTCACCTGAGGGCCCTCACTGTGTCCTGCGTGCCTGGGGCCAGCAGGCTCGTGCCCCTCAGACCACTGCCCCCTGCACCTTGCAGAGAGACCACGGGCAAGTGCTGAGCTCCCTGCTGTCTGGTGCCCTGGCTGGCGCGCTCGCCAAGACAGCCGTAGCCCCCCTGGACCGGACCAAGATCATCTTCCAAGGTACACGCCGTCCCTGTCCCCTCCGCGGCCCAACACCACAGAAGCTGCACTTGGAGCTGGTCCCGCGGCCGCTGTCACTGAGTCCTGTGAGCCGGGCAGCTCAGTGACGAGGGGTTCTGTGCCATCCCGGGGCCGTTGCTGTGGTCATGTCCCCGCCTCCTCAGCACCCGGGTGGGCCCTTCCTGCTTCTTCCGGCCTGGGGTGGGGGTCCAGGTGTTCTGGGCTGGTGGCCGCATCCCTCTGGTCTCTGCCTGCATCTTACCGCGCCTATCAGTGCGTACTGGGACTGCTCCTTACGAGACACCAGTCACTGGATTTGGGGCCACCCTTGTCCTGTACACCCTCCCCTGCACGACCACATCTTTCAAGAGCCCGTGTCCTTGGCCCTGGGCTGACCGCTTGGGAGGGCACAAGTGGACGTGACTTGGGAGGGGGTACAGTTCAACCCAGAGCAGAAACCAGGTGCAGGAAGTCCAGGCCAGGGTGAGGTGTGGGTGTTGGCTCCACCCCCTCCCTGGGGACGAGACTGGGGGTGAGGGAGGAAGATGAGGTCCCTGCTGGGGAGCCCAGGAGGGTCCGTTCTCAGGGGCTCACCCTCCCCACACTCCCACCAAACCCTGGTATTGGGGGACGCCGACCGGGGTTCCGTCCTTTGTGTCTCAGAGTCTCTCTCATTTTTGTTCTTCCCTGCAGTGTCTTCGAAAAGGTTTTCTGCCAAGGTGAGCTGGCCCTGGGTGGCAGGGCGCAGAGGGTGATCCGGGCAGAGCGGCGTTCCCATCAGTTCTCTGCACCCAGGGCAGGCGTCCCCTGCGGCTTGGGGCACGCATTCCTGACCTTCCACCCAGGGAATTAGTGAGCGATGCCACCGCCCTTGCAGTTGGGGGACTTGACAGTTCTGAACCCTGGTCTTCCTCTGTGATTTACTGTTAAATACCGCAGGTGATACCAGCTAGATAACTTTCTCTTTTCTTTCATACTGGGCACGGGACCCAGGACCTGTGCACTGAGCTACTCCCACGGCCACCCCGTTACTTCATTTTTATTTTATTTGCTAAGTTGTCCAGGCGGGGCTCCAACTCTGAATCGTCCTGCCTCAGCCTCCCAGAGTGATGGGAATTAGACGTGCGCTCTGCCAGACACCACCAGAAATGCCGTACGCGTTCTGACCCTTCTTTGCAGACCTGGCCTCTGCTGCTCCGCTGGGCAGCTCCAGGGTCCCAGGGTTCGAGGAAAGGACCCAGGGCGGGGGGCTAAGCAGAGTGGGTAATGTCTCAAGCTGGTGAAAACACGGGGCGGAGGGAAGATGACCTCTCCCTTTTCCCTCAGGAGGCCTTCCGACTCCTCTACTTCACCTACCTCAACGAGGGCTTCCTCAGTCTGTGGCGCGGGAACTCGGCCACCATGGTGCGCGTGGTGCCCTACGCCGCCATCCAGTTCAGCGCGCACGAAGAGTACAAGCGCGTCCTGGGCCGCTACTACGGCTTCCGCGGAGAGTGAGCGCCACGGACACGCCCCCTCAGGACACGCCCCCTACAGACACGCCCCCTACAGACAGGCTTGGCCCCGCCCCCGGCGCCCTCGGGCCAGCTCTGTCCCCGAGCTGCTCGTTTGCTCAGATCCTGTCGGGCCCCTCCACCCAGAGCCCAAGCCCCCGGGCCCCTGGGCTGCTGTCCCCAAGGCCTTAGGGAGGGTATGCACTCACTTAAGGACCGGAAGGGAAAGAGCAGGAAGTCCTGGGGCCTTAGTCACCCACCCAACAACACGCACGGGTAGGGGTGCGTCGGGGTGGGTGTCTGCGCACCCCAGCGCCTGCTGTCCTCTCCCGCCCAGGGCCCTGCCCCCATGGCCTCGCCTCCTCGCGGGCGCGCTGGCGGGAACCACGGCTGCTTCGCTCACCTACCCGCTGGACCTGGTCCGAGCCAGGATGGCCGTGACCCCGAAGGAAATGTGAGTCCTGTGGGGGTGAGGTCCCTCCTAAAGGCTGCCTAGGCCTGGCTTGGGAAGGAGCCGACTGCATCCAGTGCAGAGGGGACTGCTGAGGTCTGCGCCCCACCCCGCCTGGCCTCCAGGGCAGGCCAGGGGCCCGCTGCAGGGGTCTGTGCTTTCAACCCCACCCCCACCCCACCTCCCGCTTCGAGCAAACCAAGGGTTTCCTTGAGCTGGGCACAGGTCCACTAAAGTCGAGTAAGAAAAGCAAGGTGGCACACGCCTCGGAAGCTGAGGCAGGAGGATTCCAAGATCCTGCCTGGATAACTTTTGGAGACCTCGGAGCTGGGGACGTGGTTCAGTGATAGAATGCCCCTGGGTTTGATAGACCCACGCACGCACGCACGCACGCACGCATGGAAGCCAGGCCCAGGCCCAGTGGCTGCAGGAGTAGCCAGGAATTAGTGAGTGAGTCGCTCACTAATGCCGCCCGCTGGCCTGGCAGGTACAGCAACATCTTCCACGTCTTCGCCCGAATCTCGCGAGAAGAGGGGCTGAAGACGCTGTACCATGGGTTCACGCCCACCGTGCTGGGTGTCATTCCATACGCGGGGCTCAGCTTCTTCACCTATGAGACGCTGAAGAGCCTGCACCGAGGTGAGGAGTCAGCCGGGGCACAGCGCCTTGCGGGCCGCCCGGATGCGGGGGCGGGGCGGGAAGGGCCCGGTGCCTTTGGGCGGAGCAGGCTGAGGACCCGGAGTCCAGATCAGGAGCAGCACACTGTCCAGCCACTGCTGGGGAGCCCTGGTTCAGGTCTTACCTTTCTGGATTGTTTGTTTGGGATTTTTTGTGTTTTTTGAGATAGGGTCTTGCTGAGTAGTCCAGACCTCCCTGGAACTTGTGATCCTCCTGCCTCAGCCTCTGGGTAGCTATGCTTACAGTTCACACCACTGAACCTGGCTTCAGGCCGCATTTGAACAGCGATTTTGCGAAGGCCAGAGTGTCCCCCGAGCCGTGGTGGCCACTTCCGGTCCGTGGATGCGCAGGCAGCGAGCACCCGGGAACCCCTGGCGCTGCCCGGGCTTGTCTCAGCTAGCTGGGAGAGAGCCTGAGATGTGAGGAGCACGAGTTCTGACGCCGCCCGCCGGGAGCAGGTGGCAGCACTTTGTCCTGTGCGCCGGGGTGTTCCTTTGTTAAGGAACACAGCCACTGTGACCAAAAACGCCTGGGGTCCCCCGCCTGCTGCTCTTCCTCCTGGGCGCTGCATCCTCGGAGCCGGCTCGGGGGGCACTGTGGCCGCCTGTCCACACCCCCCACCCCGTTACCCAAACCCCTGATGCCTAGGTGCCCTGAACAGAACACCCAGCCCGAGGGAAAGCCGGCGCCAGGTGGCTCTGCTGAGCTCTTCAGGGTAAGGCTGCAAAGCAAAGACGTCTCCAGAGGTTCCCGACCTGGGCAGGAATTTGCTTTTTTAGCATTTTCACTGTGGTTGGTGGACTCTGGGCCTTCACCCTGCAGAACAGGACGTTTTGTGTTTCGTTCTGTTGTGTCCGGCGGTGCTGGGGGCGGAACGCAGGGCCTCACACGTGCCAGGTAGGCGCTTGGCCACTGAGCCACGCCCACAGAAGCCACATTCGGGTCACTTCTGTGACGGCATCTTGGTGTAATTCTACTTAGCATCAGTTACTGTGAGCCTCTTCCTGCGCCTACTTCACAAGTTAAGCCTTACCATAGGGGTGTGTATATAAGGGGAGAAAACCTGTAATATTGCTGGGCATGGTGACCTCTCAGGCTAAGGCAGGAGGACCGAAAGTGTAAGGCCAGTCGGGGCAACTTAGCAACCTAATGGAACACCCCCCCCTCTGTTTTTAGAGGAGGAGGTTGAGACAGGGTCTCACTCTACAGTGCAGGCTGGCCTTGAGCTCACTGTGTAGCCCAGGCTGGCCTCGGACTCGCAGCGATGCTCCTGAGTGCCGGGATGCCAGGCGTGTGCCAGCACACCCTGCTGACCCTGTCTCAAAGAATGAAAATAGCGCTGGAGGTGTGGCTCAGTAGAAGTCCCGGAGCGCGCCCTCCCCCCCATATATGTAACTATGATTTAGTACTGTCCGTGTTCCAGGTACCCGGGGGTGTCCTGGGATGTGTCCCCAGGATCGGCGGGCATCCTGTGGACGTGCAGCACGAGGGCCGCCTTGCCACGGCCCCGGTTATGACAAGTGTCCAGTGCCGGCTGGGGTGTATCTCAGGGGTGAGGTGTAGGTCCTTCCTGGGTTCCGTCCCCAGCACCGCGAAAACCCTGCTCGGTGAGGACGGGACGTGGGCCCTGGGGGTGTGCGGGGCACGTGGGCATACAGGTGTGCGTGCAGGCGTGCGTGCCCCGCAGTGCCCCCGCGGCCGCACGTGCCTCACCCCCCGCCCCTCACCCGCAGAGTACGGCGGCGGCCGGCAGCCCTACCCCTTCGAGCGCATGATCTTCGGGGCCTGCGCCGGCCTCCTGGGCCAGTCGGCCTCGTACCCGCTGGACGTGGTGCGGCGGCGCATGCAGACGGCCGGCGTCACGGGCCACGCGCACGGCTCCATCCTGAGCACGCTGCGCGCCGTCGTGCGCGAGGAGGGCGCCGTGCGCGGCCTCTACAAGGGCCTGAGCATGAACTGGCTCAAGGGCCCCATCGCCGTGGGCATCAGCTTTACCACCTTCGACCTCATGCAGATCCTGCTGCGGCAGCTGCGGAGCTAGGGGCCTCTGGGTTGCCGGAGCCGCGGAGCGCCTCGGCCGTGACCCAGGGCGGAGCGGCTAGTGCGATGTTAAGGGGCGCTGCGCTGAGACCGCCCCCTCCTGAAGGTGTCCCCCCGACCCCCGAGACGCTCATCCTTGAGGCGCTATGACCTTTGACATGCTGCTGATGCTGGTGACCCCGTGCGGGGGCACGGAGCCTTCTTGTCCCCCTACCTGGACCCAGTGTGAGTGCCTGCCACCAGGCCCCCCAGAACACGACTCCCCACCCATCTGTCGGCCTTCACAGCCTCTCCCCGGGGTCCCCAGCCTTCTCCCAGGAGCAGGTCTTCCTTGTGGTCCAGTTTGTCTCTCCCCAGAGGGTCCCATGACCAGACCACGGCTCGAAGCCACCTTGGGCTTGGGGCTCACCCCCCCCCCGGGGTGCTGCAGAAAAAAAGCACCCAGGCCACGGCCTGCTGTGCCGGGTGCCACGGCCTGACATCCATGGGTCCCCAGGCCCCTGCTTGAGTGGGGTCTTGTCCATGATGTGGAGCAACTTAAGGTCCCCAAGGGGTAGCTTGATGAACAGAGGCTCCTGGTGGCCCTCCCACGGGAGCTCCCCTGACAGTAGGGTGGGGAGTGTGGACGGTTGGGGGCTCCAGGGAGCCCCCCCAGCCGGTTTGTCTCCAGGAGAAGTCCCCAGGGTACCACAGGGACCTCTGCCCTCCTTTCCTAATGACATCTGACTTCGGTTTTGCCTGTGAACCGCGTGAACCTGGCTCTGTCCTCAGCGAAGCCCGGCGGGGTGCCGTTTTGTTCTTGTGTGGCTGGCGGGGAGGGTCCTCCTGACTGGAGCCAGGGGTCTGAGCGGGTGGGCTGGGCCTGCGTGCACCTGTGACCAGGACCCTCCTGCCCGTGTCTGTGCGGGGAAGGGCCCTGTGGCTCCCCCTGCACGCGTCCACTGCTGCCCCTCGTGTCCCCAGGGACCCAGGCAGCCAGGGTGGCTGTGAGACTGGGCTGGACAGGTGGGGCGCCTCGTGCTGGGGACCGTGACCCCTGCGCAGGTGAGGGCTTGGGGGTGAGGCCGCCCAGGCAGGTGACACCTGGCTGATGGCTAGCAGCGCCCTCGTTCAGGCTCGGGCCGGGCGGGAGAGACGAGGCCCGTGGGGTCCCCACGCCCCGCAGGCCCGTCTGTCTTCCTCGTGGCTCCCCGCGGCCACCCTCCACTGGTCGCTGGGCCTGGTCTGGAGTTGTATTTTGATGCCATGAAGACACTTTGTTTATATATAATGTTTATATTTTAAAGGTTTGTGCCAAGAGAGTATATTTAATAAAAACCTAAATGACTTCTGCCCGGGCTCTTCTTCCTGGGCTCGGACACAAACCCCGCCACGGGGATCCCCTTCACACCCGGTGGTGGCGGCTCCTTTATTCCCAGGAGCAGCTGCCGCTCAGGTGTTGCACACCCCCCTGGGGACAAGAGCTCGGACCCTCCTTCCCCGGGCCTGGGGGGCCAGCCTCGCGGGGCTCGCCAGTGTCCGCGACCTGTGCACTGCGGAGGAGCTGGGGACGCCGAGGCCCACGGAGAAGCGGCCTGCTGCGTCGGCCGGACCAGGCCTCACAGCCAGGGGCTGGGGGCGGGCTAGCAGGCTGCCAGGTGCTGGTGGAAGTAGAGGCCGAAGAGGCTGGAGACGAGCTGGCAGGCGGCCGTCCACCAGATGAAGAAGGCCAGGACGCCGCGCAGCAGCAGGGGTGTGGCCAGGCCGCGCAGGGCCGCTGCAACGCCGGCCACGATGCGCTGTACCTCATCCTCCCCGGGGCCCACGGAGCCAGCACTGGCTGAGGACGGGGCCACCGACAGCGGGGGTGCCGGGCCCAGTCCCCACGAGTAGCAGCCTGCCAGAGGGGGTGTAGGGCTTGTGGGTGGACACAGGGTGGGTCCACCTGGGGCAGTATCCCGGAAAGCCCGGATACCGACCCCTGCCCAGCCCCGCCTTCTTAAAGGCCCCGCCCACTACAAGCCTCATTTAACCCCGCCCCCGTTGGCCCCGCCCCCTCGCTTCCCCACCATCCCAGCCAATCGCGGCCCCTAGCTGCCTGAGGCTCCGCCTCTAGCCAGGCCCCGCCCCTTACCCAGCCACTTGAGCAGCAGCGTGCAGTTGAGCATGAGGATGAGCGGCGTCAGGTACTGCAGGCTCACCACCGCCACGTAGCAGTAGACCCGGACCACCTGGTGGGCAGGGAGCCGCGGCAGCTGTGCTGGGGACCCGTGTGCAGGGTGACCCACGCCCTCCCGCCTGCGCCCCGCCCTACCCGCTGCTGGATCTCGCGCGCCTCCACGTGGCCAGCCTCCTTGCGCAGCTGCTCCACGCGCGCCTTGGCCAGGCACAGGTAGGCCTGCAGGTGGGGCCGGGTCAGCGCCAGCCGCAGCAGGCACAGCGCCACCAGCACCCAGAGGCGCAGCGAGTCGAAGGCCGAGTCTGACAGCCTGCACGGAGGGGACACAGCGCGAGAGGGGTGATGAGGGGGTCCGCAGCGGGGCTCCCCCAGCTCCTGCCCCACTCCACCCACGCACAGGCCCAAGGACGATGCCCCGGAGGGCGCCTGGCGGAGGAAGTCCCGCGCGATGGGCTTGGTCCAGAGCCACAGGACGAAGAGCGGAGACAGGAAGCTGGTGTGCAGGAAGAGCCTGGGGCAGGACCGGGACAGCCCGGTGAGGCCCGGGGTCCCATGGTCCCCAGCCTCGCCCGAGCCCCCCGCCCCAGGTGGGCCACGTAACTGGAGCAGGGGCTGGTCCTCCGCCCTGGTCAGTGCGTCGCGGTGGGTCTGGGCCAGCCGCAGGCCGGGGAAGGTGAGGAAGGCGCCCAGCACGGAGCCCACCACTGCCAGCCCCACGCGGATGGCCAGTGTGGCCACAGGGAGCCTGGGGACAAGAGCGGCTCAGGGGCAGGACGCCAAGGGAGGCTCCCGGCAGGCGCCTGCCCCTGCCCCTTGCCCAGGACTCACGCCCAGTCCCAGCCCTGCTGCTTCAGGAGCGGTTCCAGGTTCTCGGTCACGCTGGCCAGGCCTGGGCAACAGGGAGGGATGGAACAAAGAGTGGGTTCCGGGTCCCCAAGCCCAGCCTCCACGCCCACCCTGACGTCCTGCACCGTGGCAGGCAGGCCTATGCAGCCGATCTGATGGCGCCTTGGTGCTGGGGACAAACGCACACCACCGAGCCGTACCCAGCCCTGCAGACACAACTGTGCCTGTCAGGCAGGGCTCTTTTCTTCTTCTTTCTTTTTTTTTTTTTTTTTTTTGTCTTTTTGAGGCAGGGTCTTGCTATCCAGTTCAGGCTGGCTGTGAGCTCACTTTGTAGCCCAGGCTGGTCTCAAACGCACAAGGATCCTCCTGCTTCAGCCTCCTGAGTGCTGGGATGACAGGCGTGTGCCACCACGCCTGGCTCAGGGCTCTTTTCAACAAAATACAGCCGGGGTGGGGGCGCACACCTGTCATCCCAGCACTCAGGAAGAGGCCGAGGATGAGTCCAAGGCCAGCCTGGGCCACAGAGGGAGACCCTGTCTCAAAAACAAAACCAAGAACATAGCAAAACAAAATTAAAACATAAAAGGGCTGGGGGTGTGGCTTTCTTCAGCAGTGAAGAAAAAGTAAATTTTAAACATGAGGCTGCAGGGCTGGGACAGATGGGAGTGGCCCAGAAGTACCTGCATGAAGAGCTCTACCTGTGGAGAGGTGACACTCTGGTCCCCAAGGCCGGGAGCGGGGCGGAGAACACGCCTCGAGCTCAGGGGCTCCGGTGGACGCTGCTCGGGCAGTGCTGGAGGAACGGCCCCGCGCAGCGCCCGCTCAGCACGAGGTCACTGCGGCTGAGCCCCACGTACCTGGCTCCAGGCCCAGCTCCAGCACGTCCTCCCGCACCACCTGCACCAGCATGGCCAGGAGGAGGAAGAGGAAGGCAGAGGCGCAGCACACGGCATGCTCGCCGCCCTGCACGCCGAAGTACAGCCGGGTCACTGTCACGAACACCTTGCTGGCACAGCTAAGGACTATGCTGCTGTCCCCTTGCCGGCCCAGTCTGCCTTTGGGGTGGCCTGGACTTTGCGTTTGGGGCCCGAGATAGAGTGTGAACTCGGGTGTACATTCATGGGGAGGTGGCCTGTGGCTAGGAACTCCAACAACAGTATGAAAATAAGGAAGAAAGACAAAGAACCAGGTGTGGTGGCAGCGCACACCTGTCACCCCAGCACTCTGGGAGGCTGAGGCAGGAGGATTCCATGTTCAGATCTAGTTTGGGCAACTTTGCGAGACCCTAGCTCTAAATAAAACATGAAAAAGGGCTGGAGTAAGGCCCCCTGCCCGCCCCGGGAGCACAGCACACAGGATACATGGAGAAGGCCACAGTGAGCAGACACCAGAACACGGCGATGTTGGCCTCCTGGGGGCCCAGCAGGTAGAAGTAGGCCTCAGTGAAGAGGTACACGCCGCCTGCGTACACCGCGAAGTCCACGAACCACTGGTACTCCAGGAAGAATCGCAAGACTGCGGGAGCACAAGCTCAGCCCACCTGCTGTCCCCTGGGGGTGGGGATCGGGGGCGGGGCAGGGGTGTTTGAGGACAGGGACAAATTACCTAGGGCGTCCACTGGGGTGAGGGGACAGGTCTCCAGGTGGAACGGGGCGTCTCGGGGCACCAGCAAAGGCTTCTCCTCACTGGGGCCGTTGGGCCACCTGGGGGTGTGGGGACAAAGGACGAGGGGTCAGCGGGAAGCAGGCCCTTGGACGGATCTTCACTCAGGGCAGGCTCCTTGCCCGCAGGGTGGCCCAGAGCCTCCGGCTGTGGACTGCGGGTCTCCTGTACAAGGAAGCGTGGGAAACCGCGTCCCCGTGGGGTCGGGTCACTCACCGCTCCCGCCGGCCTCGGGGCCTCTGTCTCCCCGCCAGTGCCCGAAGCTCCTCTTCTGACGGGTGCTTATATCGGAAGAGACTGGGGGCAAAGATGGGGGCATCGGGACGAGGCAGGGGGCTGGAGGCAGGGATCCCCGAACCCAAGCGCTAGAGCTGGAGCCCTGGCCAGGGAGACCCCCAGAAAGACCGGAGGCGGCTGGGGCTGCCACAGGGAGAGGAAATTGGGGGAGCCAGGGGTCCCCGACACCCCTGAATCTGCGGGGGCATTCAGTTTCCATCAGACTGGAAAGGGGCAAAAGAACACGGCCGGAGCTCAGGAATGTGGGAAGGGGAGGGTCATGCGCGGAGATGGGTCCGCGGTGTGGCCGCATCCTTAAAGAGTCGCAGTTTGCTGGGTTTCCCAAATACCCCTAGTTTGGCTGGGCACGGTGCATGCCTATATCCCAGCCCTGGAGAGGCTGAGGCAAGAGCATCACTGAGTTCGAGGCCAGCCTGAACCGCCTAGTGAGAGAATAAAAGTAACCCCCTAGATTTGCGGGTAGGTTCGTCTCGGGGGAACTGAGAGGCGTGGCTTTCCTGGCTCCTCCCATCACAGGCGTGGCTCTGGGGGCAAGAGGCGTGGCTCTTCTGGCTCCTCCCACGGTGGGCGGGGCCATCGGCCCGGGAGGGGCTCACCTGCCATTGCAGAGCAGCCAGCGTGCAAAGGAGCAGTGCGGAGCCAGCCTGTGCATGAGGGTGGCTGTGAAGAGGGTCACCACCAGCTGCACGCCCAGGACCGCCTGCGGAGGGACAGGATGGACAGTGTGCGCCAGGCAGCCGGCTCCCTCCCACCAGAATCCAGGGTGTTTATAGAGAAGCCGTGAAGGAGGGGGAGGGCAGCTCCCTCGGCTCGGGGGCATCCTGGGCAGGGAACCTAGGCTGAGACCCCCCCTTCACTCAGCTCCCAGCGGGCGCCAGGCCCCAGCAGCTCCTCCGCCGAGGGCCGGGGCCGCAGGCGTGGGCCCGCTTGGCGCTGGGCTCGGCCTCAGATTTCCGGTGTCACCTGCCAGGGCTCAGCTTTCTCCTCTGGAAACACGGGGCTGCCTGCTTTGCTTCCTTTATCCCTCACCACCGTTTTCCCACCCTACCAACGTCTCCCAGCCTGCATTATCCTCCGGGACCAGCCCCTCTCATCTCACCCGCTTCATGAACCGCCTCCTTGGGAAGCCATCTACACTTCGGGCTAATACCCGGTTCAGTACAAAGCCTCACATTTTTCTTTGTTTTTTAGTTTAATGTTGTTCTGTTTTTAGAGACAGGGTCTCGCTAGGTAGCCCAGGCTGGCCTTGAACACACAGCGATCCTCTTGCCTCAGCCTCCTGAGAGCTGGGATTACAGGCAGCGCCACCACGCTGGACTCTGGTGTTAAGTCTTTTTGAGACAGGGTCTCTCAGCCGGGCGTGGTGGCGCTGCCTGTAATCCCAGCTCTCAGGAGCCTGAGGCAAGAGAATCGTTGCGAGTTCGAGGCCAGCCTGGGCTACAAAGTGAGCTCAAGGTCAGCCTGAACTGCATAGCGAGACCCTGTCTCAAAAAGACAAAAATAAGGGGCTGGGGATTTAGCTCAGCGGCAAAGCGCCTGCCTGGCAAGCGCAAGGTCGTGAGTTCGGTTCCCGGTACCGGAGAAAAACCAAAAACAAAAAAACCAATAAAATGAAATAAGAGACAGGGTCTCTCTGTAGTCCAGGCTGGTTTCGAACTCACCGTGTAGCCCAGGTTGGGCGCGAACTCGCAGCGATCCTCCTGCCTCCGCCTTCAAGCCCAGCTCGGCAAGTTCTGCACAGTACCAAGCTTTTAAGCACTAATGCAGAACACACTCATCCACCTATCAGTCTGAAATTGAAGCTGGGGTTTCCGGCTTGAATGCAGCAAATATGATTTTGCTCTCAGTAATTATGTAATTATGGAAGATTGTGTGCTCTGGAGACCGTCTACTATTCTGATGCTGCAAGCAACAACTTAAATAAAAAACCATTACTTTAACATTAATCCATGATTAAAAATAACCCTTTAATCTGCCAAAATACGCTAAATTTATTTTTCGTTCTCTACCCTCTATGGCTTTAGGAAAAAATATGCTAGATTCAATAGGAAAAGGTCATTCAGAATGACTACTGAGAAACCCATCATTAAAATAACCGCTTTAGCCCAGCATGTGTGAGGCCCTGGCTTGGATCCCACCAGCAAAACACCCAAAGCAGACAAGGTGGGCTGGGGTGCGGCTCAGGGTAAGAGTGTGGGCTTAACATGCATGCCGCCTGGGCTCCACTCCCAGAGTTCCCCCAAAAACAATTTAAAATAAGAAACCGGGTAAAGGGCATTTCACTGAGCCTGTAATAGGAAAACTTTTCTTAAACTAAAATAAGAATGAGGCGCCAGTTTCCTCGTGGGTCGAGGTTCCACCCGCCCCAGCGCAGAGGGGCTGGTGGTGTCCAGGGGCCCCTGCAAGGTGAATGGGGGGGCTCTCCGTGGCCCCGTCCCCTGGACCGCCTCTCTCCTGTCTTCCAGCTCCCCCAAGCCCCATCAGGCGCTGTACAGGCGTCAGGACTTGGGGCGTCCCAGCCAGCGTCCCTCGGCCTCCATGGGTGACCCCAGAAGAGCAGCATCTCCTGCCCCGGAGACCCTGTAACCTCCCGCGGGCCCCAGAATGCCTCTGCCAGCAGTCCCAGTTGTATTGACGAACCCCTCATTCTCTCTGCTGCCCCCTAAGAAGAGGATCCTTCGCCCCCATCCCGGTTCACCTGGGCCCGAAGAGGGGAACGAGCCTGCCGCCTCCCCTAAGGCTTCCCGGGTGGCGCCGGGCGGTTGCTTAAGCCCCATACCCGGCTCCATGCTGTCCCGGAGCGCGGTTGGCTGTTTTGTTTTTTGGTACCAGGAATCGAACTCGGGCCCTTGCAGGCGCTGTGCCGCTGAGCGACACCCCTGGCCTGTCCCGGAGCTCCTGCGCCTTCCATTCCCCCACGCTACAGAGCCCTTTCCCGGATCCAGGGTCCTCCAACACAAGACTGCTGAAAGTCAGGCGTTCTTCCCTGCACCGCCGCTGGAGCGCGGCGCGGAACCAGGGTCCGCATCACCGTCCGCATCACCGCTCTTCCTTCAGCCTCACCCCAACGCGCCCTAACGCTCCCCACCGAGACCAGCACACTCCGCCCCGCTAGTCCTCGTCCGTCCTGGGCTCAGTCTGGCCGCGCCGCCACGCCGACCTCGAGGGCTGGCCGCATCTCTCGGGACGCCCCTAAGCCTGACATGTGCTCCTATGGCCCCAGGGGCCCCCGATGGACTCTTGTCCCCAGAATGGACCCTGCCGGACCCCAGTCCACCCCAGCGCGCTCCAAACGTGCACGAGCCCCCAGTCTTTTCCTTGAGCCCTGCAGCCTCGAAGTCTCTCAAGCGCCCCGCCACCGGAGGCTTGCAAGAACCCCCAGAAGAGCCGGGCGTGGTGGCGCACACCTGTCAGCCCAGCACTCGGGAGGCTGAGGCAAGAAGGTCGCCGCGAGTTCGAGGGCAGCCTGGGCTACATAGTGAGTTCAAGGCCACCTGGACGGGAGACCCTGTCTCAGACCTCCTCAAAATAAAAAAGGACCCCGCGGGCTCCCCAGAGGCCTTCCCCCCGCGACCTCTGCGCCCTCAAAGAAGGCATCACGGCCCTTGCCGCGACCCTGCGTCCCTAAGAGCCTTCAGTTCCCACTAAGAGACCCCGTGCCCTCGGTGTCTCTCCGCGGAGGGACCGGGAACCTCTCGTGCAACGGGACACTTGCTCACCATGTCTTCGCGGGGAACGCCGTGCGCACACCGAGCCACAGGCAACGCCCATCACCGGAACTGACCAATCACACCCCGATTCTTGTCTGATCAGCATCCCGTGCAACCAATGAACAGGCTTAGAATTGTCCAATCACAAAGCGGCCGCTCGCACTGCATGCCGCAAGTTGTAGTCCCAACGCGTTGCATGGCGCTCGGATCCTAGTTGTAGTCCGCACCCTGCCCGGGACCCCTGTGCGGCCGACCTGAGACTGAGCCCACGGAAATTGCTCCAAATATACTTCTCTTTCTTGAGGTGGATGTCAAGTATTTTGTCCCAGCCACGGTAAGGCTATTTCTTTGGGAGGGGGGTACCAGGAATCGAACTCAGGACCTCACACTTGCCAGGCAGGTGCTTGTGCCGCTGAGCTACATCCCCCGCCCTCTGGTAAGGCTATTAATACACGGATTACAGGTATTCGCCACCACACATGGCTTTGGACAACGTCTCAGAGACACAGCATCTCTGTACCTTGGTGTCCGCCAACGAGAACAGGGGACACGAGCTTATTTTATTTTCTTTATTTTTTTTGTCTTTTTGAGACAGGGTCTCCCTGCACAGTTCGGGCTGGCCTTGAGCTCACTTTGTAGCCCAGGCTGGTCTCGAACTCGCAACTATCCTCCTGCCTCGGCCTCCAGAGTGCTAGGATGACACGCGTGCGCCACCATGCCCGGCTTCAAGCCTATTTTATTTTAAAATAGAATCTCACCAAGTTGCCCAAGCTGGCCTCAAGCTCGCCATCCTCCTGCCTCAGCCTCCCGAGTACCTGGTTGACAGGCGCGTGGCAACACTCTGGGCTGTCCGTAGGTTTTATTACAGCACACGGGGGCTGGTGTTTTATCATTGCTGTTCATCTCTCACTGTGCCGACTGATGAATTAAACTCCCTCCTGGGTCTCGGGTCTAGAGGAAACAGCCTAGGGAAGCTCGCGTACACTCCTGGGTTTGCAGCACCCACTGGGGGTCTGAGAACAGACCCTCTGGGAAAAGGCGGATCATCGTCTGTCCGGAGTCTCCGGCCTGCACTGGGCCTACCTGTGTCCGGGTCCACGCCGAGCAGCCCTTGACTCCTGTTCTGTACCGGACAAAACACATTCTCTGTCCTACGCTGGGGATTCTACGCCCTTGATCACGTCAGTTGGCTTTTGGTCACTGACAAAATACTTAACATCGTGAATTTAGGCAGTGCAGGGCTCATTCTGGTTCTGTTTCAGAGGTGCCAGTCCCTGGTCGCTTGACCCGGTGGTGCTACAGACGGTGGCGAGGAAGCTGCCCGCTCCATGCAGCGCTGCAGAAACCAACCCCGGCGGCTGGGTCCTAATATACCCTCCGAAGCCACGCCCCCATGACCTCACTTCCTCCTGCTAGGCCCCACCTCTCATAGATCCCACATCTCAATAGCCACACAGGCCTTTATTGCTGACATTGACCCTAGTGGGCCTGGCTGCTGTGTGCTTGTCTGTGGGGGTCCTGGAATAGCTTGGAGGGACGTCGCTGCTACATAACAGCCCTCTTTCATGTCCTCCTGCCTCAGCCTCCCGAGTGCTGGGATGACAGGCATGCGTGACCACGCCCGGCTTTTATTTCCATTTTTTCCCTGTGGGACGCGTAAAGTGTCGCCCAAGTCACATGCTCAGTAAGGAAGGGTATTTTGCATGGAACATGAGTCATCCTAGCTCTCTGGAGGCTGAGGCAGGAGGGTCGCTGCAAGTTCAAGGCCAGCTTGGACTATGTAGTGAGACCCTGTCTCACGTGGTGAGACCCTGGCTGGAGGGCGCAATCGAGACCTCGCGCGTCACCTGGTGGCAGGTGGAAAAAGTGCAGCTCCCCTGCTTTGGGGAAACAATCACGGCGGGCCCCGGGCCGGGTTTAGAAAGCTGCCCGTCTTCGTGTGTGTTGTGTTTGTGTTTGTGTGCGTTAGAGTCTCGCCGTGTTTCTCAGGCTGGTCTAGAACTCCTAGGCTCAACAGATCCTCCTGCCTCAGCCTCCAGAGAGCTAGGATGACTGATGCTCCATTGTGTCCCCACAAAGCCCTCATTGTAAAGGACAAATCCTGGGTGCTTAGCCCGTGGGCACTGGCTCCAGGATGGACCAGCTTCCTGCCCTCTGAGTGACAAGAGCCAGGGCAGAGGAAGGAGCACTCTCCAGCCGTGCCTCAGTTTCCCCCAGGGCTACTGCTGCCACGGCCCCCTCTGCCTCCGACCCTGGCCCTGTGTCCGGTTCTGAGAGGCCGTGGTGTGGCACCGTCGGAGGCCGTCGAGGGGACAGTCCTCACCCTGCAGGTGCGACGTGACCAGGACTGCAGTGCAGGTGGCCAGGACTCAGGTGAAAGGGCCCCTCCACTCCGACGCCCCTGCCTGGGCCCGGCCAGGTCCCCCGAACGAAGACAGCTCTGTAACACCCTCAACCAGACCCCTAAGCCGGGCGTGGTGGCGCACGCCTGTCATCCCAGCACGCGGGAGGCTGAGGCGGGAGGATCGTTGCGAGTTTGAGACCAGCCTGGGCTACAAAGTGAGCTCAAGGCCAGCCTGCACTGCACAGCGAGACCCTGTCTCAAAAAGACAAAAAACAAAACAAACAAACAAAAAAACAGACTCCCAAGCCCCTCAATGGGAACGGATGGAGGGACCCAGAGCTTGCGCAGGGGCGGGTGCAGAGGGGCTGCAGGGCCCCCAGACTGTCCCTCATTTTTAATTTATTTTTCGCGGGTTTTTTTGGTATCAGGAATCGAACTCAGGACCTTGCACTTTGCCAGGCAGACGCTTGTGCCGCTGAGCTATATCCCCAGCCCCAGATTTTTCGTTTTTTGAGACAGGGTCTCATGCCTGTCACCTGCCCCTGGGGGGCCACCGTCCTGCCCTGGGGGTCCTCCTATTATGATCAGGAAACCCGGAGAGCCCTAAACAACAGAAGGCAACAAAGGGGGGACGTCGCAGGATCCCCGTGATTTATTGGTAGACTGCACAGGTGGAGGGGAGAGGAGCCCCGCGCAGGCGGGTGTTCCCCCGGCCCCACCGCGGGGGTCTCCGACCCTACCGCGGCCAGCCGTCGGCAGGGGGCAGGCGGCACAGCGGCCCGGGCCGCAGGAGCAGAGGGAACGGGAAGGACTTGGCGGCATCGCCGGGCCCCGTGGGCGCGGGTGACAGGCGCTCTGACTTGACGCTGACTGGAGGCGGTGAGGCGCCGCCCTCTCCCAGGCTGCGCACCCCGCTGTCGGAGAGACATATGGGGAGCTGTGAGCTAGGACGGAAAGAGCGGGACACACCTGTCACCCTACCCACAGGAGGCTGAGGCAGGAGGATCTCCACAGTTCAAGGCCAGCCTGAGCGACACAGTAAGCTCAAGACCAGCCTGGACTACACAGCGAGACCCTGTCTCAAAAAAAGTCCTTAGAAGAGGAAAGAAAAAAAGAAAGGAGGGGATGTGTGTCCTTTCTGGGGCCCCCTCTCAAAGCCGCCCACCGCCCCACCCGGGCAGGAAGGGCCGCGTGCAGTGGCAGCGCTGGCCACCAGGGGCCAGCAGCGGCCAGAGACCGCGCAGGCCCCGCAGGCCGCGGGCACCGCAGCTCGGAAGGGGCGGAGCCTCACCTGGACTGCGAGGGGACGGCCGGGGGTCTGTCCCCCCTCGACGCCTGCCAGGGGACCAGGGCGGGCGGCTGCAGCAGGCCAGGGGGCGGCGGGGGGTCCCCCAGGCTGTACTCTGGGGTCAGGAGGCGGCCGAGTCAGGGGCGCCCCCTCCGACCCCTCGCCCTGCCCGACCCCCGCGCGACCCCGGAGGCGGGGGTACCTGGGGGGCCTGCGGGGAGGAAGGGGAAGCCCCCCAGCGGGGGTCCCGGGGCGGCCGTGGCGCTC